TATTTTATTTACTTTACAAAAGTAAATAGTAAATATTTTATTTACTTTACAAAAGTAAATAGTAAATATTTTATTTACTTTACAAAAGTAAATAGTAAATATTTTATTTACTTTACAAAAGCAAATTGTAAATATTTTAGTTACTTTACTGATTTACTTTTTCAAAAAGTAAAGTAAATGTGCCACCCCTACCCTGGAGGGAGGTACAGGGTGTGAGGTATAAATAGTAGACATATGATTTTTGACATTTCTTTTATAAAGCTCAATTTCAACCAGGCATACTGCGTCTACTGTTGAAACATTGTAAGAATTTACCAATAGGTCCTCTTTATCTCAAAAACCGTATTTTTCGCTTTCCTGTACACCCCTCCAGGGTAATAAAAGTGAAAATTTGTTTTTCGACTTCAAAAGAATCTATTGACGCCAAATTGTTGGAGGATGTTTGCTTATTATAGATGTATAAAAATTTCCAAAATTTATGATGCACATTGTTGGAATATTGTCAATGTACTGGGACCTATATATGATAAAATAGCCGATTTTTTACCACTATTTTCAAGATTACCGACGAGCCCCTGCAGCTCAGAAAAACTGAGTCTACCAAATATGTAGAGCTCAGTGACAGACAGTTTTAGGAAACTTTCACGTTGCTACCACATTGTTCTACTGCACATGACTGAAAACAGTAAAGTGTGTTTTGGTGAAAAAATGTCATTCATCGATAGAAGATGGCTCTTTTCAGTAGCAAATCAGTGGTAATGAAAACTATCGAATATGAAAAATTGAGCACCACTCATAACTGTATCGAACTGAATTATACAACTAAATCTGTATATACTCATTAGAGATGATCATAGGAGTATACATTTTCTATTAGTACCATACAAATCCCTATGCCAGTATAGATAGTATATCGACCGTAACTACATAAAACCGTTATGAAAACTTGACTTCCTATATACCATTTGATGTATCTCAACGAGCTCTGCAATACTGTATACAAATGAAATCGATTCTAGAAATTTTTTCATCCAGCGGGGTCCTTTCTTTGATGCATCGCCACTTTCAAAAATTCGATGTTTCATTGCTTCGCATATTTCAATTTCAACTGAAACTCACATGTCAACTATGACATCTATTTTTGATTCAAACATGACGGAACATATTTCTGCTATAACCAAGGGTATCGTTCTGTAGTATTTACAAAAAAACTCAAAGTGAGTAGAAGAAAAAATTGTTATTGAGAGAAGTAAGCTGAAGAAAAAAAAACGTCATTTCTCGCTCTATTCGGCACAGTTGGCGTAAAGAAATACAAATGAAAGACGAACGAGTAAGAATAAGTGCGAATCGAATTAAAGGGTACCTACAAATAGCGAAATCTTAACTCCTTTTTCATTCATTGTGCTCCGTTAGCAAGTCTTACTTTTCGCAAGCATTTTTCTTAGTGACGTTCGTACGCTGCTATTCTTCTCTGTATAAATAATTTTGCATAGGCGAAAAATAATAATTGTACCACACCAGAGATTATGGATCACAATGAATACATTCTCAGTAAAATATTTCTAGAACAACTATATCGTACGAATCATACGTCCTGGAATATTTGTTCGTCGACCGACTTCGTATATGTGGAGCAGAATAAATAAAACATAGAAGACAAGAGTAAAACAAAATTCAGTTGAAAACATAATGATTTGGAAAATATTTTTTACATTTGCTTTATCTTGTGACTTTGTGCACCAAACTTTTGCTAGCGACGGTGAAGCTTGAAATTATGAAGACCACGGTTAGCTTCACTATAAGAAAAAGCTAATTTTGCATACACTCTATCATCTATAGGCCCTTTTCTATGGTCACAAACATATCCTGAATGTGCTGGTCGACAGCAATCGCCAATTGATTTAGGATATTTCAACGTTACTCCGAGAAAATTTCCATCCTTCTGGTTTTCACCGCATTTTAACAGTTATCTTCCGTTTACATTAAAAAACAATGGCCATACGGTTGTCGGTGAACTAGCAGCTCAAGTGCACCCAACTAGTATTCTACAACTTTCTGGGGGTGATCTACCTGGCATCTTTACATTTACAAACTTTCATCTACATTGGTGGGTACAAATGATGACAGAGCTAATATTTTTACCCAGAGAGTAAAATACTGAGAATTTTTGCAATTAAAAATTTTGATGTATAATTGCATCAAGTATGCCATTACGTATGAGTTCATCTCTGTACAGCGTGATTGGTTGCATACGACTTTATCGGCAATTATCTTGAACTAGTGTACAAGTTAAACCGCATAAATTCTCTTTTTTTTCTACAGGGGGAGTTCACCAACAGTGGGTTCAGAACATACAATAAATGGATTACATGGGGCTGGTGAAGCACATTTTGTATTCACTAACCTAATGACAAAACAGGTAGCTGTATTGGCATTTTTCATTGTGGTATCGCCTGATCAAGAACAAACTGCGTGGCGTTCGTATGTTGATAATGCAGTTGCATTAATTCGTGAAGGGGAAAATTTAAATTTTATGGCGAGTTTGATGAAATTGATGGAAACCGAAAATAATTTTCAAGATTTTTGGAGATATAATGGTTCATTAACAACGCCACCTTGCACAGAAGGAGTTATTTGTAAGTAGGATTTTAATGATTTTTTTTACATACTCAATTTTGTCTTTCCTTCATTTAAAGGGACAGTATTCAATAGTCACATTAAATTTTCATACGATGAACTATCGGCATTATCATTGAATGTTTTACACAAAGGTTTTCGTCCACCTCAACCGACCTACAATCGAATTGTTTATCATTCAACACTTACTAGTGCTGTTGATAGCTTACGCTGCTTTTTCTCGTGGCTTGTGTTGGTGTTGATGTTTTTCCTGATAAGACTGAACTCTAAGATGTAGGATGTAGGTGTGGTTGTGACTGGGTCAAAAACAATTTAGAGCCGAATAGACTTGCCCGATGGTGACGAAATCACATTTTTGTCGCTTTATTTTCAATATCTCAATAAAATGAAATTGAATAAAGCTAAGATTTTCCGAGTATTTTTAACTCAGATTACTCTACATACTCTGAACGTTTCATCAGATTTGAAGCTTCCGGGACTTACTATTTGTAGGAAAAAAATTAATTAAACCTATGTAAAAACAATGGTTTTGTAATCTATTTCTTCATTAAGTCGCCTATAATTCTTGAAAAATCAATTTAAAAACGTTTCGTCTAAGGATGAGTTATAGCGTATTTTTGTGATGGAATCACTATCAAAGATAGCTTAATTCTAAACGGCAAGTATTTTTCTTCACCTGCAACAGCACTGCATCTCTGATGATGACTAATGAACTTACTAAACATAGTTGCAAAATGTGTGATCGATTTAAAAAATGTCGCATCTATATGCATGATAAATATGTATGTTCATTGATATTGAGTGATATAGGTTCATTTTGTTCTAACAACATGTTTTGCATCTTAACGGGTGCGGCAGAATAAATGAACCTCTCAGTATTTTTGCAATAACTCTTTAAGGGAGAATCCGATTGGGCTCATCTTTTTTTAAAAAGATTGGACATTTCAAGCTCTAAAAAATCCATGACTTTTTATTCTCTTAAGTAATTTCCATTGTTCTGATATACACGATACAATCGGTTAGCCCAACTTGCACAACTTTCAAAAACAACTGATTCTCGAACTTTGTTAATCTACGACTTCAGTTGTTGAATCAGTATTGTTTTTGACTTGGCTTTGTTCCAACTGATTGCATTTGCAAGTTCGTCCCAAATTGAATAGTCCAAGGGGTTTAAATCAGGACTGTTTGGAGGCCAACGATCTTTGTCGATAAATGATGGAAAGTTATTCAGGCATCATTGTTGAGTTAAATGATGTTGGTGTGGCTTTGCGCCCTCCTGGTGAAAGATCCAATCGTTCCAAAGACTTTGTTACCATATTTTAAGGCCACTGGAAGCACCTTTTCGATATAGCAAGCATGGTCGACGGTTCCTTCATCAAAAATAACCAAGGGTGTAATACCCTTGGAACAAACGCCTAGCCACACCATTACTTTTTGTGGGAATTTTCGTTTCTCCTTAATGCCACCTCTTTTATCGGCATCAGCACGATCCACTGCCCACACTCTCTCGTTCTGAGAATTATAGATACCATCGATATCAAATAATTTCTCGTCTGAGAAGAGAATCTTTAAAGTTTCTTCCTTTCGGAAATTTGTTCGAACCCAGTTCGCAAACTGTTTTCTTTTAATCTTCTGATCATCAGAAAGTGCTGGCTCGACTATTTTCTTATAGGGACGCAACCCCAGATCATTTTTTAATATTCGCCGAACACTTCTTTCAGAGATATCAAGCTCCATCGATAGTTTTCGAGGTGATACTCGTCTTTTACGGCGGCAACGATTTTTTACCTTCCGAATGTTTTCACTGGTTCTTGCTATTCGTGGACGACCGGGAGGACTTGATAATTCTATAGAGCCATATTGGCGAATCATCTGACACCATCTTTTGATGGTCGCTAAACCGACCCCACCACTTAAATCACGGAAAATTTTTGTTGGAGTATCTCCATTTAGATACTTTGAAAGTACGATATCTTGGATGTCTTTACTTTTCATATTATTCAGTATGAAATGATTTATTGATTTGAATATAAAATACCCCGTTTTGTAGAGAATCGAAAGACAAATCGAACGAAAAAAAACTCACGTGGCTTCGATAAAATTTGAGAGAGATATCATGAATATAACGGGAGGCTCATTTATTCTGCCGCACCCGTTATTACCAATTGTATTCATCATATCACTACCTAAAAGCTTTAATTCAAGGTTGTTTTACAGAATGACATGGAACGTTTCTTGTTAGTCATTTTGAAGAAAACGAATGATCATGTTATGCATTCTTTGTTAAATCGTTCTTCATTTATTTTAATTTTAAATGAAACATAAAAGACTTCGGTGGACTTTTAGAGCGATACAAACGTAAAAGCATACAGAAACGTTATTAACTGGAAAGGATTGTTCCGCATGCTACACGAGCACCAGCATTTCTGCAAATTCGAAGAAGTAAATGTCAAATACGGAAAGTGTTAACCATCTAATGACACTTACCCGGTAGTGTTGCTTTCACCTTTTCCTGTATGACCTCCGTGATCCGTCAGATTGTGGATCACAATAGGTAAGCCAACAACATTTCGTGTTTTATCGAATCCTATCGAAATGACATTATCACGCATTGCAATATAGGCTCTGCCATCAGCATCTGTTTCAATATTGCCTAGATCACCCACATGGCGTAGTGCATCTCTTGGCATTCCATGAGACACATCTACCATCATGAATTAATTGCAAAAGTGAAGATTGCTTTGAAAAGAAAATTGAACTTACTATATGGATTGAAATGTGCACCACCAGCTGAACAATTGTGATTGTCTCCGATGGGTAGCGAATGGATATGAAAACCCTAATACAGATTTAACTGGTTAAGAGAATTTTGAAAGGATTATCGATGACCAAAGAGAGATGTTACTGATCAAAGATATTGGAGAAACTAATGATACCAAGCCTACTGCATATATACTATCTATGAACTACAACTATGACTACAACGCTATTCCTACTATAAAATGCACGGAAAATCTCTGTCAGGCGCGCTACACCTGTAGATACTTCACGCAGAGAAATGCTGTGTATTTATCAGTCTCTCTTGACGTTACCAGGTGCGTTTGTCCTTTCCCTGCACTCACACTTACATCCAATACTAAACTTACCAATGTTGCCGAAGGTCTCACACGATTGACAGAGTCGGAAATTATAACCCCCCATGCTACTTCCTGCTCATTAAAGCTGATGGTTCCGATAAAATCATTCGTTCCCGTCAGATACATTAGAGCCTCAGCATAATTTCCATTAGATTCTTGCACAAACGAGACAACGAGTACCAGAATAGTAAGAATGAGTTTCATGGTTATTTATTCGAAAATGCAGGAGTGTAATTTTGATAATTTTCAGAGGAGAAGAAAAAGAAGCAGAAGAACAATGACTCCGCAAAAAAATCTTATCTCGTATAGAACACAAAAAATGTCATGCGCTTTCCATTACTGCAGTGTCGCTTTTACTCTGCATATTAATCACAATTGAATATTATTATGAGCCCATGCAATAAAAACCGCATGAAAATCGGCGGTTAACCGCGGTTTTACCGGTCCGGTTACCGGCTTCCATATCAATGTAATTTACCACAGAAATGATAACTACCGCGGTTTACAGCAAAAAATGATTCAGTATTCACCACATGGGAAGAATATGTAATATTTATCTAACTGAAACGAATATTTTTTTATAGAAGTTTTCCCGACAGACACACTAGTTGTTTGCAACACTGTCCAGGACTACTATCAAACTTGAAAGATCTCTATTATGAAACCGGAGGGTGTGGGTGTGAATAAAGTAGTGATCCGCACCAACATTCTCACGATCCCTGATAGCTATTCTAAAGAAGTAGATTGCAAGATTATGCTTATAATGATCCCGACAGTCGATATAGCAGGAACTCTTTTTGATTCTTATTATTCAAAAATCACCTTCAGATATATTATTTAGATATTGAGTCTATTTTCTCACAATCCATTGCGCTGATTATAGACCAAGGGCTGCCTACCCATGTCGCCTCTTTTTTATCAACTGTGCCGCAGTTACGCGTAGAGCCAATTCTGCGTCGCAGTTACGCGTAACTATGGCGCATTGATCGTAGTGAAGATTTCTACAAGAAACTACGCTTAGTATGACTCAGATCAACATAACTGCGTCCTAGTGATCGCATCCTACGATCTGTTGTA